AAGAATTATCTTAGGTGAAGGAAAGGACAGCACACACTACAGGGGAAGTCAGCACAACTGGACTAAACCAAAGCTAAGAAGTTTCCTGAAAACAATCAAACATTTTGAGAGACAGAGTAGCAGGGTAGGGGTCTGGGGACCATGGTCTCAGGGGACATCTAGGTCAACTGGCATAACAAAGTTTATTAAGAAAATGGTCTGCATCCTACTTTGGTGAGTGGCGTTTGGGGTCTTAAAAGCTTGCAAGTGGCCATCTAAGATGCATCACTTGGTCCCAACCACCTGGAATAAAGGAGAATGAAGAACACCAAAGACATAAGGAAAGTATTAACCCAAGAGGCAGAAAGGGCCACATAAACCAGAGACTTCATCAGCCCGAGACTAGAAGAACTAGATGGTGCCTGGCTACTACCAACAACCGCCCTGACAGGGAAAACAACAGAGAGTCCCGGATGGAGCAGGAGAAAGGTGGGGTGCAGAACTCAAATCTAGTAAGAAGACCAGACTTAAAGGTCTGACTGAGACTGAGGAACCCCAGAAAGCATGGCCCCTGGATACTCTATCAGCCCAGAACTAAAACAATTTCCGAGGCCAACTCTTCAGACAGCGATCGGACTGGACTGTGGGACATAAAGTGATACTCGTGATGAGTGTGCCTCTTAGTTCAAGTAGATACAAGAGATCAAATGGGTAGCTTCTGTCTGGAGGTGAGATGGGAAGGCAGAGAGGGTTAGGAGCTGGTTGAATGGACATGGGGAATCAGGGGTGGAAAGGAGGAGTGTGTTGTCACAGTATGGGGAGAGTAATCAGAGTCACGTAACTGTGTAAATTATTTATGGGAAAAAATTAAAAAAAAGAATAAGGGCTAAATCAGCTCATCTGTACTTAATGACTTCCTAATTAGTACTGCCAAATTTTACTCACCCCATCCTATGTACTTAACTTAGTAACTTTAAAAAGAAAATCTTTACATCTATTGAGATTCTTGGTAGATGAAGTAATGCTAATCTTAACTCAGAATAAAACCATATGACTAAAGATTATGACTAAACCCATGACTAACGATTATTTTTAAACTTTGAGGCAATCCAAGTGCATAGAAAAACACAGTTTAAGGAATAAACAACAAGAACAACAAAATAAGCATACTGGAAGATAAGAAAAAATAAACCATTAACATTACCACAATGAATGTCAACAGAGATGTTCTCAACACCTCTCTTCACTGTTCTTGGTCGACCTTGCTCAGTGGGTGTTGAACCCCATTCATCAGTCCCTGCGACTGGCTGGTAATGCACCATGAGCTTAAATAGAAAAGATGAGAGCAATAAAGATATCTATATTAAAGTTATCTCTCTATATACATTCCAAAGGGATGTATGTCTTTCAAAACATAATATACAGTCAAATCTTAACTGGAGTTTTGATATGCAACTCACAGCTTGAAATGAGAACCCTGAAAATACATTAGGCTGACAGATCTTCCAACAGTATCCTACACATGGAAGATAGGCCCACACAGTGTGTCAGTGATTTTCTTAATCCACAATGGTA